TCTCTCTCTCTCTCTCTGCTGACCTGATACTGCTCCAGCGCCCCCTGTCTCTCTTGCTCCAGCTGGTCCAGTTGTTTCATGGCTGCCTGCAGAGCGCTTTCCTTGGCCAGGCGCTCCTTCTCAAGCTCCTGCTTCTCAGCCTCTGTCTCTGAGATGGCGCGCTGCTGCCGTAGGTGGATCTGCTCCAACTCTGCCCTCTTTGTGGCCTCTTCCTCCAGTAACCTGCTCCACACAGACATTACCATGGGTGAGTATAGAGCATCATGATTCTGTTTAAATCTACTAGACAGGCTTCTCCAGCTTGTCTGGGACCTGCATTAGAGCGTCACATAAAACGCTTTCAATGCTGAGGTATATAGTAACCTACATTGAGCACCATGTGTGCATACATACATTTTCCTCATTTTGTGTGAAAGATGATGCAAGAAATGTTTCTTCACTTTAAGTTAAATAAAGCAACTAATGTATAAATAAATGGTAAATGGAGATGGCTGTAGCAAGTCAGTGTGTCAGCAGGTGGTGCACCAGCAGGTGGTGCTATAGTGCCATTATTATTGTGTGTTTTTCAGATCAGTTAAGATAAGTTCAAATAAATTGAACTACTGTGGAAGCCCATTTCCACCAATGTGACGGAAAAAAAAAAACTTTTGTAAGTCGTTATGAGAAACTCTCAAAATACTGAAATTTCAAGTTAATGAGAAACTTAACAGCACCAGAGGAACCTGTTTTTTCCACAGATTATCCCTCACATGTACTACTGTGAGGAAATAGTGAATGTTTTAGCAAATATGACAAATATGTTTACATAAATGACTTGCTGCAGCTTTACTAAATGCTTCTACCTCACTAAATTAAGTTTCATGTGAATGGTACAACAATGTGAAAAGCCATTCACTGATTTTTAGACTTGAGGTTAGTGTGTTACAGTGTGAGAGTAATTGCTGGGTTTACTAAGTCAGCAACACAGTGTCCTTATTAAAAGTAAATCTTTTTTACCTACTGCAGCTACTACACAGTGGTTTAATTTAAGCTTAGAGGTCAGTACAATAGCGCTGACATGTTCACTGCTGGTTAGTCAAACGTGAGGTGGAAAGTAAATGTCAGCAGAGAGGAAGGAAGGACAACGGAGGAAATGTGGTGGAGGGAGGGAAGCAGTAGTTGAATGTCTGGCTGCATGTAAAGAAAAAAAAACAGGAGCAGAAGGTTTCATGCTAAAGGATTCCCATAGATGGTTAACTACACTGTGAGTATTAAGTAAACTCCTCACAGTCTCATACCTGAGGTGTTTACACATTGACTGATAACAGAAAGCTATTAGCAGCTTGGTACATCATCAAAATGTGACATTTATCTGACCCCAGTTGCACCCGTAGGGGCCACGTTTGTGTGGTTTTCACAAGACTTGTGAAGTAGCAAACCCTTAGACGGGCTGTTAGATGACATGCAGTGCTGAAAGAAATATTTGAAAGTACCGTTAACACTAGATTTGATTAGAGCCCACAACATACAGCGTTATTACTTCAGAGTTATGGTGTAATCTTTTGTACTAACAGTCTAATAGTACAGTACGTACCAGTACATATGTGTAGGTACTGGGGAACAAGATGTGAAGTTTTGGAATAAGAGGGTAACGGTTCAGGATTATACAAAGTATTTCTACTGTAGGTTCCTTTTTATCTACTGGGTACATATTTGTGTTGATTTTACTGGATGGACAATGCATACACACACAGAGTAGTATATGCATTGGGATAGCTTGTGTTTTATCTTGATATATTTGTATGTATTTCCTGGGATGAAAGGAGGCTGTGCACAGCGCAACATTTGGCTACACAAAGCACAAGTGATAAGTTAATAATATTGGTACTAAGGTTATTTTTTAAATAAAAACCACATCAACTTTATTTAGGCTCATCACTCCATCTTCACTGACAGGTCCTCAGTAGGTCATACATATCCTGTAATAACAGAATATGTACCCAGTAATTAAAAAACAACAGTATAAATTCTCAGAATAATGCAGAATGCTGTTCCCCAGTACCTACATATATGTACTGGTACGTACTGTATTGTTACACAATTAGTACAAAGATTACAGTGCAGATATACAACTAAAGTCATGCAGTTAAAAGTTTACTAGTAAATTTACAAAAGGTATTATTATCATAATTTGTGTAAATTACCAAAAGTGAAAGTACTGATTTGTACTGACAGAAGAACTATATTATATTACATTATATTATTGGGTTATGATTGATGCATTAATGTGTACAGCTGACTGCAGGGTGAATTTCCCAATGGGATCAATAAAATCTGTAAAGTTATCAAATAAACATAGTGGAGTAAGAAGTAAAATAATTGCCTCTGAACTGTAGTGGAGTAGAAATAGTAGAGCAGAAACAGTCCTTTGTCCTTTTAGTTTGGATTCTTTTGGGCTCGGATTTGCACAGATAACTTTTTTGTCCCGGTGTCTGTGCTTTGCTTTTGTATCTGTGCCCATTTTATACAAATATCTGTACATTTTACTCTTTATATTTTCAAAACACACTTTTTCTTATATGCATCTGAGTTTTTTAATTTGTTATTATTATTATTATTATTATTATTATTATTATTATGTTATGGTTATGATTATGATTATTGTTATTA